TTTTTTTTTTTTTTTTTTTTTTTTTTTTTTTTTTTAATGTTTTCTTTAAAAGTTTCACCCTCTGCATCTGACAAAGGTACAGTATTTGGCATTGTCTTCTCTGGCTAGGGTTAGTAGATGTTACCTTAACAACACTTTGTCTTTGTGTAACAGTGGCAACATGAGCTGCACTAAGGAAAGAACTTGAATTACTACAGATATTATTTTCAGGCTGTGATGATGCACAAATGAATGAAGTCACCACTGCTGAAATGTAAGACAGGCTATTTCTTAATAGTTTGCCTGATCAGTTTTGTTGTTCTGGCCAGTGCAAGAGGGGCAGCAGGGCAGTGCTTGATCTGAGGCTTGTCTTGGTGCTAGGTATTGTACAGAGATTTAATAAGACTCATGTCCTAAAAAAACTTACCTAAATAAAGAAACTGTGGGATATGAGTGGGGAAAGCAACTGGAAGAACTGGGAAAGGAGTGAAAAGAGGAAGTGTGGTGAAAGAAACCTGGGGTTATGGACTAGATATATGGACATGGCTAGATGTCTGCAAACTTAGTCATTCAAATTTATAATGTATTAAAATCAGGTGGTGGAAATATTTATTTATGGAATGACCTCTTTCATTTTGGTAAAGGCAAGTATGATGAGCATTCACTTCCTTAAGCACAGCCTCTTCCCAAACACCTACTGCCAGCACCCTCATGCAGTTGTCAGCTGTGATGCCTCCAGCTGAGGTGTTAGTGACAGACCATGAAAAATGCTTTGGCTTAAGAGAACTCAAGCTCAGTTACTTAAACTGAATCGATTCACCTTTGTGTATGTGATTTAAGGGAAAAGTAGATAGTGATTATGTAGCAGGGAGCTCCAGTATTCCCAGGGCTTGCTTTGCCCTTTTGTGTCTGCTCCAATCTCTCCTCCTCTCATTTCATCTGCAGTAAGAGAATGTAGTTAAGTACTAATATTGTCATTGTCCTCGTGGTACCTGCCTTTGAGACATTTATATGCATTGATAAGATCCCCTCTCAGTGTTCTCTTCTCTAGGCTAAACAGGCCCAGCTCCCTCAGTCTCTCCTCCAGAGATGCTCCAGATCCCTAATCATCTTTATGGCTCTCCGCTGGACCATCTCCAGCAGCTCCTTGTCTTTCTTATACTGAGGAGCCCAGAACTGGACAAACTACTCCAGATGGGGCCTTACTAGGGCTGAGTAGAGAGGGAGGATCACCTCCCTCAACTTGCTGGCCACACTCTTCCCGATGCACCCTGGGATACCATTGGCCCTCCTGGCCACAAGGGCACACTGCTGGCTCATGGTCAACCTGTCATCCACCAATACTCCCAGGTCCTTCTCAGCAGAGCTGATCTCTAGTAGGTCAGCCCCCAACCTGTACTGGTTATTCCTCCCCAGGTGCAGTTCCCTACACCTGCCCTTGTTGAACCTCATTAGGTTTCTCTGTCCAATTTTCCATCCTATCAAGGTCCCACTGAATGGCAGCACAACCTTCAGGTGTATCAACCAGTCCCCCCAGTTTTGTATCATCAGCAAACTTGCTGAGAGTCTCTTCCTTTTAATTGTCTTTCATCAAGTGAAAGAAAGGATCTTTCCTGTTTTCGTTTAAATGAGTTCCTGACTAATCACATACTGTTTTCACTGACAGAAATGTCATGTTGAGGGTACTAGGAAGACACTGTGAGCATGGGCGTACTCCTGTACTGTACATTTCTTATTTTAAAGAGAGGACATTTTTTACATATTCTGTTGCAGCCGTAGTTCTAGAAGACATAAAATATCTGAAACTTCTATTTTATAAATTGTATTTTAATTTCAAGGCTTAAAATAGAAAAACGCCAGAAGGAATCTTAAGGATATTTCCACAAATGCTTTTTGCATGTTTTTTTCTTTTATATTACAAGACTGTTTCCTTTGAAAATGCAAATATATACCATCATAAATTGTAATACAGGACATACAAACAATCCTTGACCTTCACGTAGCATAAAATGATTGTGAGGAATCAAATAATTTAATGCAGCAAAGGTTAGTTTAAAAAGTGTCCAAGTATGTATTCCAGACATAGACAACAGACGTTGATTTACAGCTGGATCTGTGATGGAAAGCGTCTTCTGCCGTTATCCCTGTAATTGGGAAGAGAAAGATAATTGCTGCTGGAGTGCGCATTTAAGCTGGGTGGTATTAAACTGAACTGACACTGAACACATGCCATTCTCCTGCATTCCTCCTGCACCTCTGCAGGTTGTTTGGAAGTCCAGCTCTAACCTGAACTTCCAGCTCTTTACAGTACTGGGAAGGTGAGCAAAACTGCAGGAATGTCCCCTGGAAATGGGCTCCCTCCTTAGCCTAAATCCACTGACCAAGACTCAAGAGAGATCAGTGTTATGCATCATATTATGAAGCTGAAGAAAGGAAAACTTTTATAGTTAGGGTATAACAATTAGGGTAGAACAGAAGCCCAGGTTCAAACTGACGCTTTTTCAGTTTCCCCCTAGAAAGGGCCCAGATATGAGCTTGCTAAGGCCAATTCCAGTGAAGTCAGCTGTGGGCTAAGTCTTTGTACACTCCATGCCTTTGCACCTGCAAGGCAGGATTGATGGTAAATCTCTTTGCTGGGCATATAATACTTGAAGATAGTCTAGTGATTGAGGTAAGTAAAAAAACAAATTTTCAGACCAGCTAATGGAGCTAACTCTTGCATTTTGGCCCACAGGAACTTAGGAAATTTGATAACTGATTTATTTTTAAAAAAATTACACTGAAGAGTGGCTACAAAAAGGGGACAGGCATATTTTAATTAATCCATCAGATCAATTCCTGAACAGAATTGAGATGCAGAGCTTGCAGGAGAACTGCATGTTAAAAAAGTTGGAGGTAACTCATTTTCCTAATTAATTCTTACTTGACAGAAAAAAAAATGAAAGTAATACTATTTATAACTGTTTAAAGAAAGGCACGGAGATAATTTTGAGGACAGTGCCAGCATGCAAATAATTTTCTATCCCATTCTTCTAACCTCCTTGGCCTTATCATTCTTACCTGGTGTGCAACTAACCGAGATTATGTAAGAATTATAGCTAATATTGTCATAAGGGATGGCAGTTTCTATGCCACACTTTATTTTCTCCTTTTGGAGAGCATCTGCCTTTGTGATCTTGACTTCCAGAGTCATCTCCAGTTTCAGCTGGTGACTTACCTGTCGCGGAGGCGCCAGCCCTGTCAGTGCAGCACAGTGCATTGCCTGCTGCTGTAGGCACTGCTGCGGTCCAGTATGGGCATGTAGGTTTTAGCCACGATGCAGTAGCTGACTCCAGGCCTCAAATCTTCTATCTTAATAACCTTGTCTTTTCCTTCATACACCAGGACTTTGTGTTGCTTCACACACGGTGGAGAAAAAAGAGCCAGTCAAGCACATTTCTCTAGCAAATGTATTTGTGAGTAAAGTTTAACAACAGAGGGTGTAGAACAGCATGTGGACTTACACAAAGTCCACAGCATTAATAATTTATGTATGATTTTAAAAGAAAATTCTGCCTCTCCCCTCAAATTCCCCTCCTGTCTCAATTTTTTAATATATATCTTAGAGTATGAAATACTAAGTTGATGACAAATAATACAGGGAGGATTTACAATTCAGCTCAAACAAATTTTATTCTTGAAAAATAAGCCTACATTGTTTACAAATGCCTGTGCAGTCATCAATGCTCTCACAATCCCAGAAGACTATTTCAGCTGTAAAACAAGAATGGTGTGCCCATACTTTCCTGGCTTTTCAATGGTAAAGGGTTCATATTTGAATATACACTTACCTCATCTAGCAAGTTGTTAATTATGAAGACTTGATACACCAGATCATAATAATTTGTCATTGGTATCTTGCTGCCTTTCTTCCTTTTATATGGAGAACGGGGAGGCTGGAGCTTTACTACAATGGATTTGTTGCTATGAACCACAGTTACTATTGGAGGTCCTATCATAGCTAAGAAAAAAACCCAAAGCTATAAACACAACTCTAGTTTATTAATAATATTTCATAGAATGCAATTTGAATCCATTCAACAAATGGTCATATTACCAACAATATATTATTCTGTATTTACTGTTAAAGAGTCACTTTATAAATTCTTCCTTCTTGGTGGTTATTGCTTGGTTATTGCTATTTCAGGGGTGGCATTTCCTGTGTTTGTAAATCTAACTTTGAACCAAACTTTTTGAAGTCTCTTAGAGCTGCATGTTGCTGTGTGCTGCCTAGTCAAGCAAAACGCTTTGGATTCTTTGTCCTGATTTTCTTTTTCCCTCATATTTGTCTGTGCGCTTGGACTGCATAAAATATCCATTTGAATCATTTCAGTTATGCCAAGAATGCAGTTTCCATCATCACGTTAAAATTTTTTGCAATCTACTTGGTTAAACACAGCTAAGGGTTCAAGATAGTGCCTGCATACCTGTGTGTGCAGCCCCAGAAATGTGGGGAGACAGGGCAGCAGCTGCCCCATACATCTCTTTAGGAGGAGGAGGTGGCACAGGACAAGATGGGCTATTGCTGCTGCAAGGTACTGCTTTATATCAAAGCTTGTGGTTTCATTTGTGCAGGAGGCTCAAGGTAGTTTGCACTGCAGAGCTGTGAAGTCACTCACGTTGACAATTCAATTTTGCATTGACCAGTGAGGGAAAATTGGTTAATTCATAGGGAACTTTTGGGTAGGTAGACTGGTACTGTTCAGTGTTTAGACAGTCCTCCATTTCTAACATCCTATGGCATTATAATGACAGAACTAACTAAAAGCTTGGCACATGTCTGTTCTATGTCCTTTGCTGAAGTGAGGAAAACACATAAATGTGAGGAGAATAGTGGTCACACAGCACTCAGCTCTCTTTTTGCCCCAAGACGGGAATGTTTCCTTTTTTCCATCTTGTGTCCTGTCCTTCTAGCAGCTTGAAAACCAGCTGAAAATAATTAATGTAGTTCCATGCCCTGAGGAAGAGGGCAATGTGAATTAAAGGGAACTGGGCACTTTTGATCTCCTAACTATTGGTAAGTGCCCATTTAGCCATAATTGGTTGGCTTTCAAGTGTGGGAAAAATTATTTTAGTATAACACTTCACCTGGGAGCAATTGACTTAAAACTTCTTTACGTACAGCTTTGTAGCTAGAAAAGGATGCTTGCAAATTGTGAGCAGAAATTATGCATTCCATGCCTTAGAAGATCAAATTCCTTTCTGAGAGACCCATATGTTTGCACTTACTTTCTCGCCAGGGAGTGAATCTGCAGCTGAGGCTCCAGTTGGAATAGACACCAGCCAATGCGGCTTTCACTCTTCCATAGTAAGGCTCCCGGATGTCAGAGGTCTCATGTGTTAGGTCACAGACATGGCTTTGAATTCCCCAGCAGTCATCTTTGTTTTGCCATGTGGTCTGCCCATAACTATGGAGAAAGAGAAGGAAGGATGTAAACTTTAGCTATCACCAACTGGGTCCATGCAGATTGTTAGCCCTCTGTTTTACTTCAGTGTCACTGACACCGGTGGGAATTTACTGCTTTCAATTTGATGACAGAGAAGGTTGATTTCATGGGCATTTGGGAGCTACGGGTTTTCATTTTTTCTGAAAGATACTTAAAGCAGAGACATGGGTCACCAGCCCTGTAGGAAGCCACCTCTTACTTGTTCTGTGGAAGAGGCAGGCAAGCTTTGGCTTAGCCAGCGTGTTCAACAATGAGCAGAATGCCAGATTTCACCAGGTAATTTTTCAAGGGCAATGATGATTTCAGGCACTCACCAGGTGCACCAGGGATGGGAGCAGACCCTGAGGACCAGCCCCTAGTGTTGCCTCAAGCTTGCCATCCAAGGCACCCTGAGACACTGTCGTGGGCAAGATGGGCCACTGAAATACCTTTAATGTTCTATTGCAGAAGAACTTCACCTAGCCAGACATGCTTCCGGCAGGCTGTTGGACCCAGTGACCTTCAGAGGTCCCCTGCAACCTACATTTTTCTTCAGCTCTGTGGTGCAATGAGGATACAGAGCATAGTGCTGGAGGTGCTTGTTCCTTGTCTGCCTCACGCTGCTTGGCTGCACCTTATGGGATATTAATTGATAAGTGCAGTGACAACTGAGAGCTGGCAGCCAAGCGGGACATGGCTGTTCCCCAGGTATGAGGAGAATATCCCATGTCACCTGAGAAATCCTTTTGATGTGGCCAGCAGGGATAGGCCCTGGCACAGTGGGAGGCTGGAGTTCCCCCGGTACTTACACTTTATACTGCACAAAGTAGAGTGTGTCTCTTGCCTCTCTGGCCCACCCAGGCTGCCAATGCAAAGTGCTGTTGAAGTTTAACGAACGAAACTCTACCTTCTGCGGCTTAATCGAGTCTTGCAGGTCTTGGTTTTCCGTAAGTAAAAGTGCTGCAAATAATATGGAATGATAACATAACGTGTTTGTCCCAGACACGCTCCTCTGTATTGAAATCACGGGGGTATTGCCATAGACCATTTGGTTTCGTGACTAGCAGACCACAGAGGGAAATTAAATCTCCTAGATGTCACGATCAAAACGTTCCAAGTAATGAGATCTAGTAGTTACAGAACAAGCACATTTAGTACTATGAAAGGAACACTTTTATGTGGACTGTCTGGGTGGGGTTTTTTTTGTTGGTGGTTTTTTTTTTGTTTGTCGGTTGGTTGTGTTTTTTTAAATTTTTGTGGGTTTTTTTCCTTAGTGAGTTAACTGCTGTCTAAGATGCCTCATGCACATCCCAGGAAACAAATCCTTTGGATCTATTCACAGAGTCTGCAGTAAGCAGCCCATTCAGTAGTTAAAAGTCAAATGCTCTTTCCTCTGTGTTCAGCTTTAACCTGAAGAGATTATAGCTCTTTTAACTGTTGCCACAGTTGCGTTTACCAGCTCTTGCCTAAAAAACAATAACCTGAGATTCACTGCTTTTCCTGTCTGCACTACTGGAAAAGCTGTCTGACAGTTTTTAAGGTCATCTGTTTTCAAGCTGCAATATTACTGACAGAATCAGTTAAAAACCTCTCTGAAACATCCAAATCCTAGTATTTTTCTGGGTTTTGCAACCTAGATGACAGCAGATTTTTCCCTGGCATATCACAAAATCTGGTAAGACTTGTACTGGCTGAACTGAAACTGGTAATACAGCCACGAAAAAATCTAACGGGTAACATGCTTGTTTTATCTGTATTTCAGAACCTTGAAAGATAAAATAACAGACTAATTTGAAAGTGACCAGACTTTTAAAACCCAGCAAAAGATCCAGAGATTTCTTGACTCATCCAGAGATTAAAAAACAGGACCTGCCCCCTGCCCCCTCCCCCCTCCCCACATAGGAAAAGAGCGAAAAGCCCTTACTTACAAGTTATCTCATCCTGAAGCAGGTGCATCAGTAAGCAGAGGAAGGAAAGCATGATCCTCCTCATGCTTAGAAGAGCAGCTCCATGACTGAAAAGCACCTCTCTTCCTCTTGGGCATGTCTTATGAGGAAGTAATTGTTAACCACTCCAGACTTCCCCTCAGTAGTTTTCCAAATTCCCCGTTTTGGTTTAATTTAGCTGGAAAACATATGAGTTGCTCTAAATTAAAAATGAGCAATTGTTCTTACTTGGCAGCTGTGGTCACACTGAGGTTTGGAACTAATTATGAAGCAAACCATCATAAATAAGGTCCTTTTTTAAAGACACTAATTCCCAAATGATGTCTGTCAGTATTGTTTTATCCCATAAATTTATCACAGAAGCTTGCTTGCTTGCCATCCTTTTTATCGATTAAATTATTTATTTATTTAGTTAGTTAGTTATTATTTATTTTATTATTTCAGCTCACTAGTTGCTCACAGCTGAAGAACACAAGAAACTTTGCTGCAAACATATAAAAGACCTACCTGAGGGTTGTCCTCTGGTTTGATGGACTATCTCTGGGTCAAATGCAAGAGACAGAGTTTGCAGGTGTGTTCACAGCAGGACATCATCTAGGAGTGTACAATTAGAAGAATGAGGGGCTGTGAAATTCCTGCTGGCTGTTGGGCAGCACGTTCACACCACACAGGCTCCTGGACAGATGATGGGAGGCTGCGAGACTACCAGCCTCCTACCAGGGAATGAGAAGGTAAGCCCAGCCCACTGGGCCAAAGTGCCTCTCTGGTTGGACTTTCAGACTGCCAGTCATATGCCCCAACTGGTGCAGGTGCGCTGCAACACTGCCTGCACAAATATTGGCATTTGTCAGTGCTGTCATCTGAATCCTGTCTTCCCAATATGTGCATCCCTACAAGCTTGACCCCAGGGCTGGAGATGCCAAGGCTCCCAGGCAAAAAAAAAATCTCACTTTGTGCTTACTAGTGCTTTAATGCCACGTGCATTCCTGCCTGGTGGGAGAGGAGTTTTGTGCTCCTGGGACGTATGGAAAACTCAGCCAAGTCGGTTGCTGGTGGTGGATGTGGTGCTACTGGAGGCAGCTGGGAGCTTGCTGGCCCTCCTGCCTGGCCTTGCCCCTCATGCTTCCCTCAGAAAACTCCCCGATGCTGACACCCACCAGTGCTTCGCTGCTCATGCACTAGTACAACTAGGCAAAGGTCAGGATTCTCTTTTTGCAAACTCAAGATGACAAGCAATAAGAGAAAAATGCAAATTTTGTATGACTTAACGCAGCACTATGTAACAACTTCCACCAAAGGAGTAATGGATGTGAAGACCATCTGTCTGCAGACAAAAAAAAATTGTCAGAGAATCATCTTTGCTTTGGGAAAAGGTGGAGGCAAAACACTTGTCAGGTTGAAAAAGTGCAAGTTCTGGTTCAAATGAAGATATTCTTTATTTAAAAGCAACCAGTTATATTCAGCAAACTGGACAATATCTAATCAAGAAGCTGACCTTGGTCAGACAGATGGGCACAGGCTCTCAGTTCAGCTGATCACCTATACCTCATTATACAAGCACTAAATCTGCAGCAGATATACTAAAATGCTAACTGTGCAGCTTTGAATAATTAATTACTCAAACCAATTAAGGGAATTAAAGAATTGAGAAGAAATGAAGTGAAAAAACACCTACCAAAATGAAGGCAGAAAGCAGAAAGTCTACCCTGGCTGTAAATTTTTTATCTATCCATTTCCCAAACACATTTTCAAAATTCAGTGACCTTTAAGTAGTTCCCCACACCAAATGCAATCAGTATTTCGTCATGTTATATGAGCTCAAGTGCGGGAATAGGGAACTTTTACAAACCAATCACTAGACTGAAAGGTCATCAAAGTTTAGTCACAGATCACGTATTTGTTTACTCCTTCCCAACACACCTTCCCATACCCCACGTAACAGCTCATTGCCAGGAGCTGAAGTGTGGACCTTTGCCAAAATTGCTTTTGATGGTGGTTCCTCCTACGAATGCAGAACTCAGGGCCAGCCTGCCTGGCGCCGGTGGGTTTTGCTCAGAAAAAAACTGCTCTGCCACGTGGTGAAATGGGGCAAGAAACACCTGTCACATGGAAAAACTCATGGTTTCATGCGTATTGCACTCTGATAGTGTTTTATCTGCAATTGGGCTCAGCTTTCTGCATTAATTGGTAACTCTTTATATAAATTTCGTTGTTATTGTTATAGCAGGTTATCAGCATCTGTAATGTTGTGCTACTCATCAGCTTCAGTCATGCTGCTTCAGGGCTTTCTGTGATAAAAATTACTGCAGTCAAAGAAGGACCAGCTACACACACACATATAGATACGTACAGACACATATGTCTCGAGTTTCACAGAATATGTATATAGTACATTTTAAAAAAAATTGAGGAACACTACAGGATGATGTGCACTGCAATGCCATTTAAAATACAAGAATTTTTAAAAACAATATTAAGGGTGCTCTGAACTTTATGAAGAAATGAAAAGTCAATATACATTACTTTCTCCAGCAGAATCCACATAAGTAGTTATGCTATTAGCTCATCCTAGCTTACACACCGAAGCACCGTTTTGATACAAACTACTGTGAAACAGCAGAACTGATATTTTTGTGAACCAGTATAGAACTCTGGGCATGAGGATCTTTTCCATTCCTGGAATTGAAACCTATCAGAATGCTGGGAAAACAGCTTTTTTTCTCTTGAGGACAAACTATTGCTACACAGAGGTAAAGTACAAGTACATTCACAGGTACATTTCCCAAGTACATTCTTGCTGAAAGTTGCTTGATTCATCCCACTTCATGGCACCATCTCCTTGGTTATTCCTTTTCTTTCTTTTTCCCTTGAATGAGTTATTTTCCACACATAAGAGTAGACAATTTAACCCTGAAACTGTTACTGTAGCATGACCTTTGGCTGTGAGTCTCTGATATTTGCAGTGGATATGAGGGTGGGTTTTCCTTACATACCTGAATGAGTGTGCGGGAGGATGAAGAAAGGGGAGAAATTCCCAAAGCATACAGAAAATACTTCTAGTAACTGGCAGAGGCCAGGCAAGTCTCTCTCGTGTAGCATTTCACACAAAAATTAAAAAAATGAGTAGTTCACATTGCTCTGGACCTAAAGACTACTCACAATTGGAGCCAGAGTTTTCAGTCTTTTCTAAACAGCCAGTGTGGACTCACAGGAAAACCTGTCTTAGGACGGGACTCTGGAGGTCTTTCAGTCCAGCCTAATGCTCAGCACAGGGCTAATGGCAAATTTATCCTATACTTAATCACTTTCAGTGTGAGTTTCCTCCTGCATATCCAAGTGGGATTCCCCTGCTGCAATTTATGACAGCTGGTTTTTGTGTTTTTACTTGGGGCCTCAGAGAAAAATCCCTCATTTCTGCAAATATTTGTTATAATTGGCTACTGCAGTTAGATCTCTCCTGAGTGCCACCTCTCCTGGCTGAAGGGATCCAGCTCCCTCAGCCTCTTCTGGTGTGTCAGGTGCAGCAGGGCTTCACCAGCTCAGTGGGGACAGGGAAAATGAATCTCTACACTACACACAAGAAAAAAAAGAAAGTAAACACCCACAGTCAGGCAGGAGGGACTTTTCACATTTTTCTTCCCTGCTCTTTAAGGAAGAGGCATTGCATCACATGAGCTCTGATAGAGAAGTTTCTGAGGAAGAGAGGTAGACTTTCACTGCACAGTGCGTGCTTTCCCTGCTTTCTGCCACAGGTACAACGTCTTCAGCACTCACTGTTAAAGGGCTTGGGTCAACATCTTAAAGACTACAGTTAGAAATTCCCAATGCTGTAGCTGCACCTAGATAGTAAGACATTTGAACATATCAAAGATGAAGATCTGCTGAAGGCTTGCAAATAGCAAGTCATTATTTGCACATGAAGTATTTATTTAAGAATGTGCAAGACACTGAATTGCACCAGGAAGTTAGTAGTCAACATCAACATTTATTAGGAACTGAAATTAATATGAAACCCCACAATAGCTCAAAACATTTTATTTAAATGACAGGTTCCCTTAAAAAATTGTCAGTTTTTCCTCATTTGCAAAGCCATATGATTATATTTTTTCTACCCATAAGGAGTGCTGTAGTTTGTTTAAGACATTGAGAAAAGACCCACTTTACATTGTGGATCCCTCACCAAATTATCTGCAGACAAAAAAAACTACTAACTTGGAGACACGTAGAATTAATATTCCACAATTTGTTGGGTTTGCTTAAGTAATCTTAATAGTATAGGAAAGGTACCAGGTGCTCAGTCAGCCAATAGAAACCCCAGATAAGTCTGGAGAGGTACAACACAAACATTGCTCATGATTTCTTGGTCCACCTACTGAAGAAAGGAAGGCTCAAAGCCTGGTAGTGCAAATTCTCACTCTCTCTGACACACTGCCACCAGAGGCAGCTGAGGCAACTCCTGAAACATCAGTAGTGTGGGTAGGACACGACTCACACATTCATCTTGTAGGCAGTGGTTGGAAATCTCTGCACCTGATCACCACAGTCCTGTCTAGTCCGCAGACTGCACCAGGCTGAGTCACCACACAGCACAAGAAGGCCAAGAGGCTGGAAGGCAGGCATTCAGAGAAAAAGACTGGAAGAACTGGAGTGTCTGTCTCCACATCTGTAATCAAAACTTCTGGTAGCCACTCTGGGCAATAAACCTTGGAAAGATCCAAGCTCTAGGGGTTTCCCTGGCCAAGGGAAAAAACCACCAGAAATAAAAAACAAAAAACCTTGCCTTCCACTCATCTCTTCTGCAGGTAGAAGTTTTTAAGCATCACATGTTCTAGCCTGTGGCTCAGTTCTGTGGTTGTGTTTTGAATTCTCAGTACCATCTCTCTATCATCCAAGGAGCACAAACTCTAGACCAGAAGTCTATTTTAACAAGTCTTTACCACCACTATCTCCAAATTACTATTGAATATACACACTATAGTTTTACAAGCCTTTTTTTTTTTTTTAATAAATACAGTGTTTCAGATCTTGTGTAGATATAGTTCCTGAGCATTCAGGAATCAGCGTGCTGAGGTTTTCAGGACAGAACGCTCCATACTTAGCGGAATTGGTTTTCACACTTCTCAGAGGTGTTAGTTTCGAGTCTACTGCAATGTGACCATTTAACCAGAAAATTTTGATCACCGTGTGATTCTTAATGACAAAAAGCTTTGTTCCATATTCTTCTTAGAGGAAATGAAGTTTTGTGTATGTCAAATAAAATTGCTAGTTTTGCCGTGCACCCTGAAGCAACAGATAAAGTAATTCTTTGTACTTTCACAACCCAAATTCACAGTGTTCTATGGCAACTTCTATTCAGATTTCGGGGACAGGTAGGAACTGGTACTATACTAAAAGCTGATATAAGGCCAGACTGGTACCTGGGATGAATCCACATGGAAAAAGGGACTGAGGAATGGCAAAGGTGCTCTCTACCTCCTTGCTACCACTGCCCTCTAGCCATTCAGGCAAGCTTTTGCAACCCTTCCTTACTTGTTATAATTTATCTCACATTTAATCACATTTGAAGCAGGTCATCACAGGCCTCAACTCTACCAAACCTCGTAAGAGAAAGCACACAACACTACTTATGGTTCCTGTCTTCTGGAATGGGACTGCACGTGCCTTCCACCCTTCCTATAATTAAATGAGCTGCTATTGATTTGCAAAATACACCACAAAACACTCATAACGTAACACAAAACAGTCATACCCAGAAAGAAAATACAGTGTATTTATTTGTAGTCTTTTCACTCTGTATTTTCAATCTGAAAGGATTGTATTTACTCTCTGTGGAAGGGTATTTTTGAAGGGCTGTAAGTTGTTTAAGCAGCCTTTCTGAGTCTGTCTTATTCAAATGATGTCAGCACAGGAAAAAGCCAGATCAGACCTGACATTCTACTGTGCACATTGCAAATATTTGACAACTGCAGGATTAATTTTGCAAAACACATAGTGAACTGGCTGGCAGAACCACCTGGTTTGCCCGCTCATTATCTGTCTGTAATGCTTTTCCTCTTTCAAGGTGTGGCTGGACAGCAGAAATAAAAACATGACACAAATAAGACCTCTGTGATCATTTAAATTTCTGTTAGTAAGAGTTTCAAGGAAGGCCAGCTTTCCTCACTCTGCAGCAACTAATCCATTCAAATGGTACAACCATTTAATCATAATCCTTGTCCATAATTTTTAAATAGAACATAAGGAGACTCTCCAGGCTCAAGCAACAGAACTGGACTGAAGTTACTGCAGGCTGCATCAACACTGTCAAAGGGCAAAAAAGAAATCGCAAAGCTGATGATGTAGCTGGTAAACAGAATACAGTAACTGGCTACATCTAATTAGGCACACATATTTGCCACACACATCTCCCTCAAACAGTGCTTTGATTTTCAATAATGCTCAAGCATACACTACATAAGTAACATGAACTCAGCCATCTTCAAAAGCAGATTTAGTCTTCAGAACAAAAGCTAACAAAGAGGCAATGACACACATTCTTCTTTTGAGATTATATTTTCATATACAAAAATTTCAAATGTACAGTATTTACAACATTTCAATTACACACTTCAGCCCAATGGTTGCATCCATTTAGAGAACATAGAGTATTAATAAACAAGGACTTCATAGTTAGAGGACTAAATTAAAAAAAGAACACTGAAGAAATCTATGCAAGTAATTTATTTCATGAGATGAAAGGTGCTTTGTATTTGGTTTGTTGTTTTGGTTGCGTGTTTTTGCTTTTTGGGTTTTGGGGGTTTTTTTAGGCATGCTGAAACTATTAATTTGAATCAAGTACAACATCTTTTACTTATTAATACTCAATTGTTTAGATGGCATCACTTCAGAGCAACTGGTTACTCCTATCCCTGAGAAAAACAGGTCTTCTCACGCAATTTTCTTTTCTTGCAATCTTCTAATGAAGCATTACATACAAATATGCATGTCTCTTCTGGGCAACCAGGACCCTCCATAGTGTCTTGTTTCCACAGATGTCAGTAGATTTGACAAAAATTATTTTTTTTAAACTACATTGCTGATTCAGGTGGAAAACCATATAAAAGCAGAAGATTTGATGCTTCTGTGCCAGCACGCAGTACTGCCACATTACCTCACTGTTAATTGCAGATCTAATGATAAAAAATTACAATGTCCACTCAAGAACAAGCACTGAAGAAGTTCTTAGAAATGTTGTCAAGCATTAGGTCAAATTTTTGTGATGCAATTTCTTTTACATAGGATATGATATTTTGGAGTCCTATATTATATTGTTTCCCAAACTGCCTTTAGGAGAGAGGAAGGGAGGAATGCTGAGCAGTCAGGACAAGAGTAAAAATCACCTGAAAAAGTCTGAAGTAGTGAAACTTTCTAAGTGTGTCATACTGAATAGCTGATAGGTCTGTAAAAGGCATGAATATTAAGGTTTTTTGAACGTGTAAATGTTAGGCACTTTCATATCCTATGTCAAGGTGCTCTGCACAAATATCCAGAAGCTCACCTCTTCATCACAAGAATATTAATTTATTAAAATAAACTAACATAATTAGGTGAAAATGCACAGATAAATACTCCCTGACAGCTTCCCAACTACACGTACATTGCTCAGGTACTTGGTATTACAGAACTGCAAAAGCAAAGCTAACTAGCTGTAGCTAGAAAGACATTCCAATTTCCTTGTCCCAAGAAGTCCTCACCCTGCAAGCTGCTGGATTGTATTCTAACAGAGATACTATGAGGCACTTGCCCTGTTTTTAGGCTCTCAATACCACTACCACCAACTGCTGAAAACAAGACTGGGAGAAAGAGAGCTTAATGACCTGGAAAGACATCCTTGTCCCACTGTGGCCTCACATTTTCAGGTAGTCACAGCTAATAAAAGAATCCCATGCTTTGTGCACTCTTGAACTTTATTTCACAATTATAAAACCTGTAAGCTGGCCTGAACAATTTAAACATCTAAACTATTCCTGTGCTATTGGCTACTTGTTAAGTACATAGTACACAGAAGACAGATCTGCAGGGATGGTGCTAATTCAGGGGCTTTTGTAATTAGAGTTCACGAATTTTCATTAAAAAATACATTCAACCTTGTGATATTACAAGAGAATGTCAGTTGTGTGCATATGTGTATAGATATATATATGTGGTACAGTAAAAAGCACTCATGTTACTGTCCTTCATTTTCAGCTTACAAAATAACAGTGCCTTTCCATTACACAGGACTATCTGCCATGCCAAATTTTTCCCGTATGTTTATGATTTATTTCTGTGTCATTTCTTATTCATCTTATTGATCTTAACACTGTTGTTCTTAATTATGTCCTAGCTCCTGGCTGGGTCGTTTTACTCACACACGACTACATATGACTTGAAAGATTGAGAACAATGTACAATGTAGTCGTATTGCAGGAGGAAGAGAAAAGAATCTGAGACAGTCACTCGGTTTTAAAATGCATCTATCTGCATTCCTCTTCCAGTGTGGCAGCAAAGGAGAACCTTCCAGAACGTAGAACACCTAGTGATCTCTTATGTTCACACAAATCTAAGATGCTCAGTCTTAGCTCCTAGCAGCACCAGGGTTTCCACATGCACTGCTAAGAATGTAAATTTAATTTTCCAAGAAATTACGTGCTTCTGACAGGATCTTGGCTTTGAGGCAGATATATCAAATGGAACTACAGCTAATTCCTGCCCTTCTTGGAGAACATGAATATATTTTTGGGGGGGCAAGACTGACAGAAAGAAAACAAACTACTAATTGCAAGTAGATATAATACTCTGAGCAGTTGCAAAGAAGATACTCAGCAAACTGTCTGATCAGAAACTTCTTCCCAAAACCAAGGTAACTTCACAGTTTCTATTTATCCCTTCTGAGCGAAGTTAAACAGTTACCCGACATTTATAAAGTCCTCAGGTATTTATTACAGTTCATATTTATCAACAAACCTCCAAACCCAGAAAGAAATTACATCAACTCCAAGCTCCGCACAAGACGCAGCTGCTCATCTCGTTAGCAGATAGACAGCTAGAAGCTTCAGATACAAACCACATCATTAACTGAAAGGTCAGTTCAGTTGTAGTTTCAAATGCAAATTAATGCTGATTTTTAAAAAGCCTTCTTGTAATACCAAGAGAGTTGTTTTCTGCACTTCTGCCATGGAGATACCTACACATTAATGGATCCCAAGCAGTAAGTCACTGAGCATTGTCTTCTAGGAACTCAACCCAGAACATGACATTGAAAAAGTTGCTAGGCAGTCTCACTATGTTTGAATATAATGCAGAAACAAATCACAGCCAGCTAACAAATACCGAAGTCTTTTGAGTCGGGTTTTCCATTACAGCATAACTACAAAATTCACATGCTTGATTTGGCTTTTCCTATAATTATCAAAATCCTGCTAAGCAATCTGTTACCTTCCTGTGGTAGTGATGTGAAAAATAGCTATTGTCTTTAAATCTTTTGTACCATTGTGCTCAATATCTGATATATGCAGGAATGGAAGAAGCCCAGAAACTGCTGTGTAGGCTAACTCCATCTTAAGAATACTCATATCACTGAGAAATATAAGGACAGAAGTACTACAACACTGGTTTTCCTTCAAAACCATCTGTTCTAACATGTTAACACTTCCGATAATCCTATAGAAATATCTTTTAAAACAAAGATACAATTTTGTACAAATGGACTAACTTGTGTCTGTAAAGCATCCTTTTGTTCTGAACTAAGCTCCATTAATAATTACTGTAAACATATCCTACAAATAGAAAATACCTATCAAATCTTGACTAAGGGTAAATAAATGGATTACATGGATTTTAATTATTAAAAAAATATAAAAAGATAAGATCCTTATCCTTCAGTTTTCAAAACTACAATCTCTATACTACGGAATTCAGAAGGCTGTCAGATGACAATAGCTTATGAACTACAACTTACCACATTATTTTTCTGTTGTCTTTAGAGGGAGGTGATTTTGTGTAGTTCCTGAGTTACATCATAAAAAGGGGAAACATGGTAATAATTTTCAACCTACTAGAAAACATGTTTGGAAGAAGTCCTATTGATTTCTATTTAAGGATTATATTGTTCCAAGAATCATGATAAATATGCCCTAGAAGAAACAGGCTTTTGAATTTTGAAAACATTTTCTGAAGAATTTGTGCAACTACCCATTAGATTTTTTTTTCCAATAATGATCAGCCAGCATGCTAATACATTCCAGAATTATCCAGAATGTGACATGGTTACGCAATGTATTTAGGTGATCCAAATGGATGTAGCCATACTCAAATAACAGCAGTTTTAAAAACAGGTAGGTTTTTTTTAGTCACGGGACTTAAGCTACATAGGATAACGTCTCCTGCTAATTAACTGAAATCTACGAAGTGATGATCCTGAAAGAGTCCAAAGGAGGGCTACAAAGATGGTGAAGGGCCTTGAGGGGAAGCCGTATAAAGAGCAGCTGAGGTCACTTGGTCTGTTCAGCCTGGAGGAGACTGAGAGGAGGCCTCATCGCAGTTACAACTTCCTCATGAGGGGAAGAGGAGGGGCAGGCACTGATCTCTTCTCTGTGCTGACCAGTGACAGGACCCAAGGGAATGGCATGATACTGTTTCGGGCAGGTTTAGGTTGGATATCAGGAAAGGGTTCTTCACCCAGAGGGTGAAGTGGTTGGGCACTGGAACAGGCTCCTGAGGGAAGTGGTCACAGCACCAAGCCTGACAGAGTTCAAGAAGCATTTGGACGATGCTCTAAGGCACATGGTGTGATTCTTGGGGCTGTCCTGTACAGGGCCAGGAGCTGCGATTCGACAATCCTTATGGGTCCCTTCCAACTCAGGATATTCTATGATTCTAATAACATATTTCTAGTCACAGGAAAAACTACAAGTGACTGGTTCTTTCCCATAGTCACGAAATCCGGTTGGAAGGTACCTCTGGAGATCATCCAGACCAACACCCCATGCCAAGGCAGGGTCACCTAGAGCAGGTGACACAGAACACGTCCAGGTGGGTTTTGAATGTCTCCAGAGAGGGAGACTCCACGACCTTCCTGGGCAGTCTGCTCCAGTGCTCTGTCACCCTCAGTGTAAGGAAGTTCTTCCCCATGCTGAGGTGCAACTTTGTGTATTTTTAGTTTATGGCCATTACTCCCTACTTCTTTAACATGGAATCAAATTCCTAAATTATACAGGAAGAGCTTATAATCATACTTGTCCTTAAAAGAAATATTAGCATTTAATTTAATAAAAAAATACTCAAGAAGACAATCAAGAGGGCACCTCCAATAATGGCAAAAACTCTCAAATGTTTCTTGCACATCTCTATCATAATCAAATAAAGGACTTCTTAAGCACTGTGTTCATTGACTTAATTTTGAAAAGGATCTGAAACAGAAGTGACTAATGGTATGTTTACTGTAGAGTATTGTTAAAAAACACAGAATACTATTTCAAATAGGAAATACTAAATTATATCATACAAAAACACTGCTAAAAGTGGTTATTATGAAATTTCCCTACATTTTTTATGCAATTTTCAGGCACTACTTTCACTTGTGTACTGGTTACTTTGGTTGGATCAGAAGAAGTACAACTTGCAGATGTTCACAATTTAACCCAGATTTTCCATAGTCTTCAGTAATGCTGCTTTTCCTGAGTTAAACCTCTGGTTAAACACTTCGGTTATCCTGGTTACTCAGCTGGCCTGTAAGTATTCACAGGCTGTTCTTCACCAACATCTATCATCAACATATCTAATGGAACATGAGGCTTGTCATAGCCAGAAAACTTGAAACAGCTGCTTGGAATGACTTTTTGCTGTGTTTCTGTGGGAGAAACCTCTGTACCTGAAGAGTTACTGCATATATCCATTTGGCTACTGTCAGAAATGAAATAACTCTCTTTTGCTTTGTAATTCTGTTCATCAGCATCAAAAGATACCTCCTCTGTGGTTTCCTGCACAGACTCCTCTTCTGCTTTGGCTGGTGCCTCTGGGGTAGGAACAGAAGATTCTCCTTCGCCGGAATTCTTAGGACTAACAGTTTCTTCTTCTGACTCTATCTCCAGCAAGGTTACTTCACCATTCACTGGCAATGCTGACTGGCCTGACGTGACGCTTATTACAGATATATACTTTCCCTCCGATTTTGGCCTTATAAGTAAGGTGTCTTTATTTAAGTTTCTCATCACACTGACCTTAAATGAAAAAAAAAAAATTACTTTCAGTTTAGAGGTTAAAAAAAGATACAAGTTGATAATACAAATTTAAGGTCATTATAAGCAATCCCAAAACAAATTTGCAAAATTAGAATTGGGCACAGTCATTAGCCCATATCCACGTTTTCCAACTGTTTCATTGAAACTTTTATGCAATTTCTCAAAAATGCTTTCTCTGTGCAAACACATTTGCAAGGATCCAATCCATTTCATGTCACCCACTGTATTTTAAGTCATTTGAAGTTTTCAATGTAAAGGAAAATAGCAAAAGAAGAAAAAGACATAATACTCTTCAACTGGCTAGGGAAAGCTTTCATACTCCATAGTTAATGAGTGTAACTTACAATGACTGTAACGATTTCTGACAACTGTCTCAACTGGGAGGGGAGCAAACTTTAGAAAGAGACTGAAAATGGCACAAGAACCTTTATGTATACCTGATATCAAGCCCCTCAAGATTTGAATCAAACTTTCGTTGTTAATCAGTAGCTGTAGCTGGACAGGTGTGATTAAGCAATTGCACGGTGAACATTGTATGCTTAGCTAATCTTTTATTTTAAGGAAAAGGGAAGACAATCCCGAGATGAATGGGCTGTCTGGAAGAGAGCTACCAGGAGTGAAGTCAGCAGAGCTAACTTCCCCCCCCTTACTGGGGGAAAGGTAATTCTGGCAGTAGAGATTGCGACCACCAACTCACTGACCACCTACTCAAAACAGACCCCAGACTCAAACGGAGGGAAGAACTGCACATGCAGAGTAATCAGCATGAGAAGGGAGAGAGATAACTAGCAAACAGGGGGTGAAGTACTAATTTATAAAAAGTTATGTAACTGTAACCAATGACTGCTGATGCCTTTTTTTGTTAAAACCTATAAATACTGTAAATTTTTGATGATCGGTGAGCCAGCCTTTTGTAGGTTACCACCTAGCTCATTACTTTGCAAAAATTAGAATAAAAAATTGAAATACCTCACCTCAGTGCATGAATTGGTGCTACACACCAGGTAATGAGCCTGTGTTCAGGACAACATACCCAGTAATCGTATCTATGACAAAGTTTTCCTAGTTATTTCACGGTGTCACTAAGCACTCCCTCAAACGCTGCAACAAACTTCAATGTTTTGCTTTGAAATCCCTCCACAGGGTGATCATATGAATTCCTTCAATGGCCAGGCTCCAGCTTGTTTTAAGCAATTATGGTACGCCTTCAGGCTGTTAAGATCCTTCTAATTTTTTTTTAATGAGTTCTCAAGAAAACAAACATATGAAAAACAAAGTAGGGCAAATTTTCAGCTGTTTGATGGTGTTCCCTAAAGATAACAGAATGCCTAGGGAGAAAGAGTTAATTAATAGTACCCTTTTCCAAATTTTGTAATTCCCTATATAGATGTGTCACAGACTATCAAGTATTATAGATATGCAAATTTATTAATAAAATACACAATCCCTGTTTTTTAGATACTTTGTAAAAAATAATCTCACTGAAATTTCAGATTGAGGCAAATTAGGAAGAAAGAGATGTAGGTAGGAGGAGGAATGGGGAAGAAAAATAATGTTAAGAAAAGTTACAAACAGGTATAAAGAACCTCCCAGTCTGTATTAGTCTAAGAACTGAGAAGGCCATCAAAACCAAACGATCAAATCTAACTGTGCTATTCGAGAGTCTTCCCTGGTTGTGAGACTTAAGCTTCACATTCATACCTTCACAGTGTGCTAACTTCATTAGAACTTGCCCTCATCTCTCACTTCAGCTCTGTTATCCTTCCCCTCAGTAGCCCTGATATCTGTTGATGCTACTGTGGTTTAGGCTGGATTGATGAAACCATTGCAATTTAGAAAAAACAAGCAAACAAACAACAACCACCAGAAACCAAACAAACACTCCCTGGAGAGCAGTTATTTGTAATCTAAGTGAGTTTTACAAACAGCTGTGTGAGCACCACCAAGGTGAGACAAACCCTGGGAAATCAAGGGCTGTCACTGAAAAACTTGTAAAAAGTCCCTCAAGGTGGCTCCTGACACACTACAACCTAGCTGCCATTCAGCCATCAGTGTATCTGGATCTTCATTTTCTGTTATGTGGAGACAGTCAGAATACTACATGAAGAATATTCAGATTAATTTTCATGAGAATTCATGGAAACCACTAATTCATAAGATGCAGATGCTTAAAAGTTAGTTGCAAAAATCAGAATACAGCCAATAATGGGTAGGTACTGAAAATGCTAAGAACAGCTGGTAGGATAATTGTACTATTTTTAAAACCTCTTTATACAGATATTTGAAAAAATATAGGATATTCATGCTTACAACATTGACCTTGAAGGGACCAGCATTTATATTTTTTCAGGCGGGAGGGGGCGTAGTAAAAATCTAGCAAAAATCCCAGCAAGCGACAAGAGAAGATAATTCTCTGTGTAAGATGGAATACTTGAGGAATGTGAATTAAAACAAAATATTAAAGAAACTATTGCTAAAACCTTCATTTACAACTTTCCATCTTAAATCAATGAGTACTTCTTTCTGTCCCTTTAGGATTTTCACATGGCTCTAAAAATCACAGTCCTAAAATATGGTAAGGGATCGCCTTGTACTCTTATACAGGTCCTGCATTTCACAGTGAATATACTTAGAGAGTTTGAGGATAAAATACCTATTCCCTGTACAACTACATCCAAGACTTCTCAAAAAGGAATCTCATTTTTCTCTTGGCAAGTTCCTGACCAATGCAAGATGGTGCAAAGGCACTCCCATTCCCATCCATGAAAGAAGGAAGCTATTAGAAGAAAAAACTCCTGGGGATTTCCCAGTACCAAAGGTTTTCTAAGAGTCACTGAGTCATGACTACAACTTAGCATTCATACAGTTGTTTCTAGCTTCAAAGATAAGAATCACATCTTATTACACTAACTGAAATGCCATTCAAAGTATCTCAAGCAACAAGTGTAATTAAGATATGGTTGCTATTGCAAGAAAAGTATTTGCCATAGGTAAGTTAATTTTTTTTCTTTTTTCGTGTTATCTAATACTGGCAAACTGACAGCCAATGAGCTTAAGATGGATGTCAGCAGTATTTCCTGGCATATGCAGGTGCTCACACAACTTCCTGTCTCCAATGAGAGCACCTG